CTGGGCCCGGCCCTTCCCACGTGACTGATTCTCTTGCTGACACAATGCCTCGGTACGCAGTATGGGAATGGCAAATCGTTGCGCTTGTTGATGGACTGTAGGCCTGAGAGCCATTACTCGAGCAGCTCGCGACTCACGTGGTTGTCGCCTCTTGCGAGGAGTTCGGCCTCGGTAAACTGGAAAACATGGCCGGGTCCCGTTGAGTGAGCTGCAGCCTGAGAGTTAGCGTCCTTCTTCCTCGCCGCCGCTGCGTGCCCGGCCATTCGCGTCTGGACTAATCTCCCGCTTTCCACCTTCCTACCTTCAACTCTTTAGCATATTGTTTAGGAAAGCTTCGAAAAACTTATCTCCCCTCTAATTGGCTGGCTGTTCCACGTCACGCCACGTCGGCTTACTGACACGAGTGTTGAAATTCAGTTTTACAAACGAGAATTACCAAAGTACAAGGTTCTTAGTAGCTTTGAATTGGCCCCCGGTAGCTCATGCAAATTGGTTCAGGAGAATTCCAACAACCGGCCTTGGATTCCTGGCCTGACAAATAAACTTCATGTTACTATGTTTACACTATGCGATAAAGTAGTCATTTCTTGGCGCTCTCACAACAAACGCCATTGTGAAAAACTAACACACACACAGACTCTTGCCGACTTTCGGATTTGTTTTGTCGGCGCATTAAAACTCGTCATGTTTGGTTATGTAAACATACACACACACACATGTCCGCGAGTTCGTTCGCCTTGGCCGCTGCCGCCGCCACCGCCAAAAAACGTAAGCCGATGACCTTATTGTGTGGTGGCTACCAAAACACGCATCGCTTGGCTTATGCGCATTAGAACGTAGGGAGGAGGGGGGGGGGTGGTGGCAAAAGATAGTCTTGATTATTTTATATATATTTTTTTTCGGAAGAGATGGAAATCGCAAGGTGTAAGTCCACGGGGGAATAAGGCCTCGTGCCACCGGGAGCAGCCACGCATTTCCATGCTCGAACAGCCTCAAGCGTTGCCGTGTCGATATGCGCACTTGCGTGTCCCCAGCGAACATTCCGGTCTGACCAGTCTGGGTGTTTATCATTGCGATAATTTCACTCACTGATTTTTTCTTGCGCGGATTTCAGCACTTTGATTTTTTTTGGGCGAGACCCTCAAACTGCAGATTATTTCCTGCTCTGGGAACTGAGTAAAGGGCCCGATAAGTCAGATACCCAAACCTACCTGTAAATAGAGATTGAGAAACGGTAATTGGCGTTTGCCTCATCAATATCAAAGGGAGGGAGGGAATTTTGGGAAGAAATCTACTCGAAGCTATTTTCCGAACCACGAAGGACTCATTGCGCACATTCCTGCTTGAAACAAGGTTTACAGTACACAGTTCTTTTCGAGGATGGGAACCTTCAAGCTGAATAGTTGCTGGAGATGTGAGAGATAATGCTTTATTTTGAAGGTGATATTCACCATTTTCAGCAAAAATAGCTCAATTCACGGTTCAATTCACAGGTAAAAGACCATGGTAAAAGGTCATGGAGTACTCAAAGTTAAAAGTTTATACGACCTCAACATTTGTTATGGAGACTGGTCGGATTTAAACTTCTCAATTTCCTTTTCTTCACACGCGAGGTAGCGTGCTAGGAATGGGAGTACAGAGTACTGATATGCCGATGTACGGCAAGGCATATGATGGAAGCTTCAGCGCATAGTACGGGAAGACTTCGCAACCATTATTTCCGAGTGGAGAGGGTGAGCGATATCACTAAGGATGTGATCAACAAATTTCTTGACTGTTTTAAAGTGTCGCTGTATTTTAATGTCAACTAAAAAAAGCATAGGAAAGATCGGCGGCTGAAATGTGCATTCAGGTGATACGTTTAAAAATGACCGGGTCTTTTTTAAGTAAAGCTGGAAAAATAACTGGAGAGCAGTAAAGAATGAGGAGGAAAATTCAGGCATCTATAAATCGCCAGATTTGGGCTTGCGGTTTGCGATATGATTGCAAACGGCGGATATAGTATAGCAGTTTACGGATTTTAATAAAAATACTTTCAATATGAAGAGTAAATGAGAGGTTAGATGCCAGAGTAACACTAAAGTACGGAAAGGAGGGTACCTCGTTGGACAGAATATCAATGGATTTATGACTGGGAGAGGGTCGCAGTCGAGAAACACACTGTACTGACTTCTGGTCGTTAAGTTGAAGGCCATTTGCTGACGACCATGTTGAGACGTGGTCCAGGCCATCCTTCAGTACTTGGAGATGTGTCTGACTTTTAAGAGGATGGCCAACAACCATATCATCAGCATTATTTAAAGAACAAACATTCGTTTGGCGATTGTAGGTCGTCAGTATGGAGGGAGAAGAGGTGTGGAGATTGTAGCACTTAAGGATTTTCCAACCTTGGATTATTCCCTACTCTGGGAACCGAGTAAAGGGTCAGATAAGTATACCTACATCTCCCTGTAATTAGACATTGAAGAACGAAGGGAAGGATTTTCGGGCAAAATCTACTCAAAGCTATTTTCCTACTCGGAAAGACAGACCATTGAAGCTGAATAGTGGCTGGAAATGTCAGTAGTCAATTAGCGGATCGTCCATATCTATACTGTCTGGATAGGTGTTGTGCTTTGCTAGTCACTGGCGGCACCGAGGAGTCCAAGCATTATGTTCGAAAATCACCAGGACGCAAACGCTTAATCCAGAGTTTGGTATTGCTGAGCGGCTGTAGTACCGTATCCTGCGCAGCGGAGCACTGGATCATAAGCTGCACTGCCCATGCGCGGCTTATTTTCGAACTTTTCTCTTCTATTTAAAGCGAACCGGTCTACGGGGCGCATTCAGGGAACAAAACAGTCAGATAAGCCAGTCATTCAAACTTTATTGGACGCATTCACACTAATTCTCAACCTCATTCAAACGTTAATGAGTGGGGAATGGATCCGACAAAGCAAGGGGAGACTCGAATGGCCATTTCTGGCTTGTTAGCTGTCATCAGTCAGTCATACCCAATCTCAGGAGTTGGAGCCCCCGAGACTCGAACCCGGGAACATCATGTTGGCAGCGCTGCGGTTGGCAAACAGAACGATCCAGTTTCATTTAATTTTATTTAAAATTAAATGAAACTGGCCTGTTAGGCACCCACTTTTTGCCCTTCATTGAGTGATTTGACAACTCTGAGCCATTGGCTAGATCTCCGACATTGTTCGTTTCTCCGTAGAAATGTCAGTCGCCCAGAGCGACGCTGTTTACTATGCCTATTTACCCCGAGGAAAGTTGCTCCTCGTCTTGCAACCAACTACGACAGGATTAAGTCTCAATGAAACGTAAGCGCAGGGTTTACAAAATTTTGCATCACTGACTTCCCCGCTTTCTGGAAGTTTATGTTTGAATAAAAAACGTACTTTTTTCTCCGCACTATAGGACGCACTGGATTAAAAGGTGCACTGTCAATGAATTGTGTATTTTCGAACTGTTCTCTTCTGTAAAACGCGCCGGACTATAGGGCGCATTAAGGGAAACAA